AGAAAGCAACGCACACAGAGCAATACGCAGGCAGACAGAAAGCAACGCACATAGAGCAATACGCACACAGACAGAAAACAACGCACACAGAGCAATACATACACAGACAGAAAGCAACGCAAACAGAGCAATACGCAGGCAGACAGAATGCAACGCACACAGAGCAATACGCACGCAGACAGAAAACAACGCACACAGAGCAATACACATGAAGACAGAAAGCAACACACACAGAGCAATACGCACGCAGACAGAAAGCAATGCACACAGAGCATTACGCACGCAGACAGAAAGCAACGCACACAGAGCAATACGCACGCAGACAGAAAGCAACGCACACAGAGCAATACGCACGCAGACAGAAAGCAACGCACACAGAGCATTACGCACGCAGACAGAAAGCAACGCACACAGAGCAATACGCAGGCAGACAGAAAGCAACGCACACAGTGCAATACGCACACAGACAGAAAACAACGCACACAGAGCAATACGCACGCAGACAGAAAGCAACGCACACAGAGCAACACGCAGACAGAAACAAAACAACACACACCAACAATGTGAGCAAGCACAGAGAGAAAACATGCCTGGAAGCCCCCAGGACAGCAGCAGCTCCACAATCTCTCTCCCTGTTTCGAAATAGATCAATAAGCAGCCCCAGGAAGTCTTTCAATTATTTACATTCAGCTTCTGCATCTCAAACCGCCAGCCGGACCCCGGGGCCACAGGCAGAGCGAGCCAACGAGAGGGCCGGGTGGAGGCGGGTACAGGAGGAGCTGGAGCGGAGTGTGTGTGTGTGTGTGGGGGGGGGGTCTGGAAGAGTGGAGGCCATGGGGGCGTTAACTCCGGCGGCAAACCCACCCGGTTCCCCCTCCCTCCGTCCTCCCCCACACGGAGGATGCTGTGAAGGAGAGAGGGATGTGAGAATGAGGGGTTGAAGAAGCAGAGGGGATGCTGGGTGGAGGCGTCACGCTACACCTGGATGTCATTAAGTAGGACTCCCTTAGCACTTCGCTCCACCTCTGCCCCCCGTGCTCCGTCTCTGTCTCCCCCCATCAGCGGAGCACTCCATCCCCCCTGTCATCACCGAGCCGTGATCACAGCTTATTCATACATGGAGTAAGAGGGTGCGGGGAGCGGGGGAGCACTGTGGCAGGCACCACCGCAGACGGGACGGGGGACGGACTTCCTGCGTGGGGGTGGGGGGTGTCGTAGACTCTACGGCGTGTGATTAATACGTTTCTCAGACACCCAGTTTCTGCTGTGCTCTCATTTTTCCGGGCTGGTTTTTTACCAGACGAGGCCAGGTGATTAATTCCTGCTTCTGTTGTTCTGACGTGGACACGAGATGCTGATAAATAACCCCCAACTGCCCCCCCCCCCCAGCAAATCAGCCTGTGTGTTAAAGGCATTAGCCTTTCATGGCCGCCATCTGACTGGGGTGTGTCAGCTCTGATGTGGATGCACTGTAGCGTATTCAGGGTGCGCCTTTTATTTTAGGTTTTATTTATGAGTTACACTCCCTTAATGGGCAGAACGGGGCTGGGGAGGCCTGTTCTCTGTTCTGTGTGTGTGTGTGTGTGTGTGCCCCACGCTGGACTGGCACCCTGTCTGGCGCCCTCTATCGATGCCAAATGGTGGGCGGAGCCAGCAGCCTCAGTGCCGGCACACCCACGCTTCCTTTTCTGCTCATTACCGTTACTGTGTGAGTGGCACACGCTGCCTAACAACTTGCTTAATTGCAGAAGTGGTACATTAGACCATATCAAAGGCCCTTTTAAAAGTCATCCAATCCCATCCCGGGCGGCATTTAGAAGGAGCTCCAGACAGCTGCTCTGCTTACCGTCATTTGCATTTCTTAAAGGTTACACAGAAAACGGCGGCACAAGGACTTGCCCCCCAGTTTGAGAAAATGGTGGCATCGGGACTCACCCCCTGGCCCCAGAAAACAGAAGCACCGGGACTTCCTTCACCCACCTCCACCCGGCCCTCTCCACTTACAGCGGGGCTGGAACTTGGCCCCTGCCTTGAGAAAATGGGAGCACAGGCACTCGCACCCCACTTATGGTGGCACAGGGACCCACTCCCTGCTTATGGCAGTATTGAGACCCACCCCCCACTTATGATGGCACAGGGACTCACATCCCACTTATGGCGGCACAGGGACTCACCTCCCGCTTACGGTGATACAAAGACCCACCCCCCACTTATGGCGGCTCAGGGACTCGCACTCTTCTGCCTCCTGCTCCCCTCCGCACTCCCCACTATGAAAGCTGCCTATACATCCCGGCACACAAAGTCAGCCTCCTTCTGACCCCGATTAATCACATCCTGCTGAGTCCAGGCTGAGCCAAAGTCCAGTGGGCCAGCAGCTACAGGAGTGGGCCGGGCTGACACACACACACACACACACACACACACACACACAGCATGCTATGATATATTAGCTTGGCACTAACACACCTGGCATTTCAGTAGGTCCTCACAGCTGGTGACTCTTGCTGATTTGGGATCAGTTTCTCGAAGCTCAGGGAGCATTTGTAGGAGCTGCTTCATAACCCAAAGATGTCATCAGTGAGTCAAACAAAAGCCATAAGGGCAGAAAAAAAGCAACACCCCCATGAAATTAAATCTTCCCCCCACCAACTGGCTTCACCTCATCATCTCTGTTATCGCATCAACGACCCACAAAGCTTCTTCAATCACTTATTTTTCATTCTTCATATGAAATTCATTTTTTTCCGGATGGCCAAAGCACACAACTCAGAGTGAGAGTCAGCGCCCCCACAGGGCAAGTCGAGCCTGGCTGCCGGGTTTGTCATGGCCAAAGGACACGGTCTGAGTTCAGGGTCTGAAAATCAATTACCCACCAGGAACCCCGTCCACCAGGTCACATGAGCAAGACCAGGGGATGGGGCCGGATGATCAGCGACGTGTGGGTGAAGGTAGGGATGAGCACCTCCGATAGGGCTGCCCCCAGCTGGGCCCTTCACACGCTACACCAGCGATCGCAGGGGCAGCTTCCAGAAATGATAATTACAATAAACATGAGGACATAGATCAATGTTTGCCTTGTGAGACCAAGCCCCGCTCGGTGGGCTGTAAGGACCACAGTGGCGGCTATGCTATCAGCACCACGCCGTATTTGCTATCAGATTAATGCTCTTATTCCTCCCCCCTCTCACTTTACTTTATCCCCAGTGACCCCGTGACCCCTGAACCCGGCTGCAATGGAGCATTGGTAGGCCTGTCAGCGCGCTCCTTCGGAAGCCAGAGCCCGGCAGCGAAGGCAGTGAAGGCTGTAGCGGAAAGGAGGAGAAAAAAATAAAAGAATAATCTGGAGACTTCATCAATTTTTCATGAATTTTCATTTAGGCTGGGAGAGCCCTCTTAGAGCGATCGATAGCTCAAGCTGCTGTCACACAGTTAGCACCTGGGGGCGGAGAGGGCAGCCCCGGGGGAGCCCGGGCCCAGATCAGAGACAGGCGGCCACGGCAACGACCCCCCATCCCCTGACACTATCCCCCGCCCCCCCATCGCCGACTCTGATCCATGTAATTGCTACAGGAAAAAAGGGGAAAAAAACACTCTGCTTTTTCTCCGTAAGTAAATCCTATCAATGTGCCCCCACTGCTATGGCCTATATCAAACACCCCCTCCCCCCTCCCCTGGCCAGAAAGGAGAAGCAGAAACCCTGCAGCCAGACACTAGCAAAGCAAAACTGTGGTCCAGTCATTATTCCTCCTTTCCATTGCAAGATGATCTATTTCCACCTACAAACCAGCCCATGCTAACCAGCTGGGGAGTCACCTGTTAACCGCAAGACGACCTCAGGGCCGGCAGCTGGGGGGGGCGGGCAGCTGGAGCGCGTCCAGGATCATCCCAAAAAAAGCAGGTGCGTGGGCAGCTTTGCTTGAGAGCTCTGCTCTGGGATCAGCCCAGCGTGGCCGCTCAGGCCCCCAGGACGGGCCCAGGGCAGGGAGACCTTTCTCAGCAAAGATCCGGGTCCCCAGAAAACACTGCATGTCCCGTGGGAGGGAGATTTCCAGGGTGAAAGTGTGAATTCATTTAAAATCTTGCTAATAAGAAAAACCTTGGTGTATTCTTAAGGTTAGTCCCTGGGAACGTGATTGGCTCTGTGCCTTGGACACCCCCCAGGAAAAAAAAAAAAAAAAGAGATCGGGTCCGTGACCCAGACAACCTGACTTCTAAGGTAAGAGGATCCCGGGGTGTGAGGAGCAGCCCATCAGCACGGTGTACCCCCCCGGGGGCCCTTGTCCGTTTCATCTGCACCTGCCAGCGCGACCTCTCCCTGGCCACCTCCATTATCCGTAACGCTTTCCCTCCTCATATGCCAGGGCCAGGCTGACCCCAAGGGCTGCGGGGTTACATTATGGGCCAACTTAGCATGCCCTTTAAAATACAGATAACGTTACCTCTAGAAGAGGAACTGCCCCTCCTCCCCATCAGAAGTTCAGCACGACAAACACAGCAATTAGACGCGATTACACCCCCCTCCCCCACATTTAATGCTGAATGAGTTTTGTGATTCTGTTTTCCCCACAATTTATTTCAAGCATCGATTTGTGCGGCTACGCCCGTTTGGCAAAACCTGAATTGCCGTAATAATAATTATCCTGACCGCTCAATGATGAAAACCCCGTACCAGCACCGGATTACTGGACCTGGGTAAATGAACCCAGTCTGCCTTGGCTCAAATTGATGGGACGCAAACTCACATTCATTTCGCCTTTCCCCATAAACACACTATGCAGAGAAACATACAGTGGCATCACTCTGAGATATGCATATGCGCCCCCTAATGGTCAGGTGGTGTAGGAAGCTCCTTGCTGTCTGCATGTGCCCCCGGAGCAGCCCCACCCACAGCCGCCTTCCGCCGCACTGACAGCGCTCTGCTGGGCACAGCAGCTTCCCGTCATACCGGCACACGGCTGACTCCTGCACCCCAACAGCACAGAGAAAAGGGGGAGACTTACATGCCACTTCGAGGGAGGCGTTCCGGCTGACGGCTTCGCCCAGGTAGTTACGGGCCACACAGATGTAGCTGCCCTCATCCGGCTTGCTACGCCGCCCGTGGACGATGCGCAGGAAGAAGAGCGATCCGCTGGGCAGCAGCATGCGGTGGGAACGCGGGTCATCCTTGTCCGTCTCCACGCGCTCGCCGTCTTTGTACCACTCCACCGTGGGTGTGGGTCGGCCCTCCGCCTTGCAGTTCAGGGTGGCCGGCTCGCCCTTGGACACGATCAGGTCGGAGGGGTGCTCCACAATGCGGGGAGGGGAGTCCTCCTGGCGCAGACGCGATCCTGGGTGGAGACCAAAGAACAAATAAGAATTGCGGACATCCAAGGTAATCCCACTAGATATCATTAACTCACCAAGAAATGCAGTCAACACCCAACTTGAAAGGAGAGATGATAATTATACATTACAGCTCCTTCCAACATGTCTTCCTGGAGGGGTAACTGGGTTTCATTGGACACCCGTCCACCCATCCATCCATCCATCCATCCATCCAGTGTTCGGCATTTCAGGTCCAGAAGCTGCAAATCCAGACCAAGATTTTGTTTCTACCAACCAGTTGAGCACTCAAAATCTTGGTCTGGATTTGTAGCTTCTGAACCTGAAATGCCCAACACTGCATCCATCCATCAATCCATCTTCCAGTCACTTATCTGGCACAGAGGGGCATTTTATATCGGACATGGGTGCTACTTGGTCAACAGGAAGGTAAGTTGCTGCTCATGTAACATTGCAGTGTTTCCCAGCTGCTAAATCACTAGAATAGCAATAGTAAAAAATATCAGCTAGAAAAGAGAATTTGAAATGTCACATTACTAAGTGAAGTAACCTTAACTTAGATGTTTATTCAGAACAGAAGTGTTGATTCATTAATCTTATTTTAAACAAAAACATATTTCTTATCTTGGTAATCAAGCTAATTAGATATTAGACCTACAGGCCTATATTTGGTAAGGTCATTGGCTTCTAGACTATTCGATTACAATTGCTTAGCAAATGATCCCATGCATAAAAAATCTTTCATTTCTATCACTTTTCAATTTATTTTAACCTATTTTTTAATGTCATTGAAAAAAAAAAACAGAAATATAACAATAGAAACATGATTACAGATTATTAATGGAATACAAAGAAAACAAAATTTCAAAACATTATTTTTAATTCTTATTAAACAAGGAGAATAAGGCAATATAAACTGTTAAAAAAAAACAACCACTGAACCGTACAGAAACAAAGAGACGCTCTACCAGATTGATCGCTGTCACATATATTAACTAGTGATGCACCAATATGGACATGTTGACTGATACTGATACATTTTTGTATAATATATTTGTATCAGGGCTTCCTTCCGCCAGTGAAGCTTGCCAAGCCTGTCAGCACAGATTAGCTGAACAACATTAAATCATTTTTTCATTCTGTTGAAAACCAAAGATTGACTTGTGGGCCAGATTTAATAATGCATTATAAACATGTCGCGGGACAGTACTTTGAGACCTTAGAAGTGGTAGATAAGCTGAAGAAATCCCTCGTTCTCCACTACAAAAAATAGGTAATTGTTTAATGTGATCATCTACATTATTTTAGTAGTTGTGTCCTTAACTCTGGCCAAAATTGATTGACAAATGTCAAGATCTTGATTTTTTAATTTGTTAACTGATACATTGTGCATCTCTAACCTATTACTTTTCACTTAGCTAGCTAGTTGACTCATTGACTTGGCCATTACTACCGTAGGTAGCAAAAAGAATGACTTTCCTGTGCTACAGAAAAGGGATGTAAAGATTCCCTTAACCATTAGAGAAAGAGTATCCGCAGTATAAAACAGGGGCGAGTTTCCCAAAAGAGTCGTGGCTCAAAGCTCATCACTGGCTAATCAGGTAGAGTTTTCTGTGTAAATATTAATGAACCTTCCTCTGCCATCCTGTTTTTATAATACTTTACGTCTACCTTTACTCCCCAGAATTGATTATAACCTAATCTGATGTGTATCGGGACCTTAATAATCAATTCATCTCGATGCATATTTATATTATTTACTGTATATCACCAATGAAGTGCTAGATAGCATATGCAAACCTGAGAAAAAGAATTAACAGCCCATGCAAACAGATTTATATTTTGCCATTAAATTGTCAGTGTTAAAATGGTCATATATTCATTTAATGCTTCTTCATTGTAAGCTAAATTTAGAAATTATTCAATGTTTAGCATTAATCTGAAATTAAGGTAGGATCTTAATTTGAATCCAGACAAGATGGAGACCGATATGACCGGTGTTCACCTATACCTAGTGATCCGGTGAGGTATTATGTCAGTACATGGCCTTTCTAATAGAAATGGAGTGTCGACTGGGCTGTGTTCTGTTACTGCCATTGGTCCCTCTCGCTTTCTTGCACTCTCAGCACAGCAAAGATGCACACTGCCCTGTGAATCCGGCCTTCAGTACTAGGCATGAGCAGCACAGGGAATCCACCACATCCCCCAACCCCCCCACATCCAGACGAGACAGTCGGCTGAGTTGGGCTCTAACGGTTTTTCTTTCGTGATGATTTTTAATGCGCGTGACGTTTGAACAAATAGGGGTATAATTATTACACGCTGGAGAGTGCGTAGAGATGACGCCCCCACCCCCCTCCGGTTCCCCTGCCCCTCCTCCCAGTCCATCTGGCTGTCCATGCCATTACACCAGCATGGGTGGAGACCTTAGCTGCTTCGCTTTCTTTCCGATGGGGACTGAATGGCAGAGACTGCAGCTCAAGAAGGAGCCCGTCATCAGAGAGATGAAGAAGCCCCAGGCAGGTGTGCCTCATGTCCTACAGCAGAGGTAGGCAGCTTCACCTGGGGGATGGAGCACAAACCCCAGCACCTGACCATTAGGGGGCACCAAAGAGAGGATGGGCAGAAGATGGCCGGGCTCAGGAGTCCCACGGTGCAGTGTTTACCTAAGGGAACAGCCAATCCACTACTCTCTGCTCCACTTAATTCTAGATAATTCGTACTGATTCCTTCCTAATGATCGGAGATCAGGACCCATACTGGCTGCCTTTGAGTAACAGGAGCATGAGGCGGGGTGTGTTTCCATAATACACCATGTGACTATCGGAGGCGGGACTTCCTGCCTGAAAGCCAGTCTATCCTGGGTCCATCCTCTGATTCACTCCTAATGGTTCTGCTAGAATGACTAATGCAAGCATTTGCCCCCAACATGCAATTCCAGCTGTAGCTGTAGGGCAGACGGCAGATGATTGTCTTCTGACTTCAGGGGTATTAATGAATAAAGTATTAATTAACATCCTGACACAGATAAATGGGGAATGAGACAAGGGAGAGGACAGCGAATGCCGGCTATCCCCAGATGGAGAGTCAAAAGGACATTAATTCCCATCATATTGGAGCATCTGCTTTACCCATAATCCACTGCCCCTTAGCAGACTCACTTACAGACACACTCACACACACTCTGCGAAAACTGTTTTTACTCAATTCGATTTATATCAGTCTAATTTTGTTAAGTCCAATTTGTAATCCAAATCTCCAGCATATTAATAGCCTCAACCCCGAGTCTCCATCTGCTTCTCATTCTCCATCTAGTGGGAATGCGGACGGCAGAACGAGCCACAAGCATGAGGAGGGTGCGGCGACCGGGATGGGCGTTAGAGCCACTGCGGCTTGGGGATGGAGGTGAAGCAGGTGTGCCGGCCTCCGGCTTGTGCCGCCTTCCCACTCCAGCAGAGCCGGCCCCCGCCAGCTGTGTTGTGTGGATGCCGAGACGATAGTAAGCAGTTTCCTGTTTCTAAATACCGCCTGATTTCCAGAAGCTTTTTAATCTGTCAGCTTTTATGGGGCTCCGAGTCAAATTAAGCCTTTTACCTTGTTGATCAAAGGGTAATCTGTCTATTCATGGCACATCGGGCTGAACAGAGACTGATCACAAGCGCAGAGCAGTAGCAGAGGGGAATAAATGAAAATGGTGGAAAAAGAAACCCAGCCAGAATCTGGAGTGCCCCCACAGCAAGGCGACGTACCTCTAAGAGGGCTGCGCTCCGCAGACTCACCCGCTCTGCCATTGACACACACGTACTCAACAGCACATGCGCACTAGAATGCGTTCTCATGACCTGCATCCCCCAGGATGCTAGACGCTCCGGGGCCAGAGTGCGAGAATTAGAAGCTAACGTCCCCCCGTCGGCTCATGGGAGAGGAAGTCAGTCTGCAGCTTCCTGCCTGGGCTCTCCAACATTATAGTAAAAGGTAGGGGTGCAACAATACATCAATTTGTTTCGATATATCGATTCAACGGCAAACGATCCGATACATCGATATGATCGCATAAATATCGATACATGCGTTTTTATTTTCTGGCCTGTTCCAGTATTGTTTTCATGATCCACTCCGACGTATACATGTTCTACACCAGGGGTGCCCAATATATCGATCGCGATCTACTGGTCGATCGCGATCTACTGGTCGATCGCAAAGGTAGTGTGGGTAGATCATATGGCATAAAAAATAGAGGATGGATGACGCGTTCAACCGCGCCAGCTGCTGCAAGCTACCGAGTCGCCTAGTTATCCTCCAATTTATTTCTACTAAACTTAAGAAATGGTATAAAAATGAATGGGGGAGCCGGACCAAGTAAGAAGCCAAAAACCTATCACTTCCATACGGAATGGGAGGAGGACTGTTTTATTTCACCATGTCATATTCGAAGTGCATTTGCCTCATCTGTCAGTCTACCATTGGTATTCCGAAGAAGAGAAATGTGGAGCGCCATTTTCGGACTGTTCGTAAAAACTATGACATTAACTTCCCTCCGAAAAGTGAGCTGAGAAATAGAAAGGTGAAGGAACTTAAAATTCAATTAAAAAATACTTTATTTATCCCAAAGGGAAATTCACATTAATAATAGTAATAATAAATAATATTAAAGAATACTCAATATTTTTATATATAAATATGTTTTACATTTTTATAGTAGGTAGATGTCATGACCTGCCCGTCCGATCCTCGTGTGTGCCACGCCCCCTCATTACGTACGCGTACTACCCCGATTGTGATCACCTGTTTCCTGTTATTTCGGCTTGTCTTGTGTATTTAGTCCGCATCTGACGCCGTTTTTTCCCCAGATCCGTCATCGATGTTCGTCGCCGTCTGCCCTGTCTTTCCCTAATAAAACCCCGTTTCCTGCATCCTCGCCTACCTGCCTCATCCTTCCCCACTTCCTGCCTGTTCGCCAACCAGCGATCATAACAGTAGATCATTCTGACTTGGTCATTTATAA